TAACAGGGACCACTGTAACTCATAAAATGTTTTTGTTTCTTATGAATTAAAATCAAGCAGCAACTTTATAGACTACCATATAAAAAGCAAACATGGGTCCTCGCCAATCAGATCCACGTCACATTTGTGACTCTGTCCTCCCAAAACGCAGATGGTTACAAACAAAATGGTGAAGTCTTCCACAAACCACTGGTTGACATCGCAAGTGTCCATCAATGTAGCGCATCAGTCCACAGACTGCTTTTTTGCACACCCACATAGGCGGACAAGTTTCAGTGTGAGTTTGTTAACCCACAACTAAAGCCTGCATCATTGTAACATGTATTAATTTACTATGATAATCTAATGCTTAGCACAGACAAAAGTGAGGTATCAACATGAGTAACAATCATTTTCATTTATTTTCTTGGTTAATCTTTGTTAGTTTGTAACTTGACAGAAGATGAAATATGAATGTCTCCATCACAGCACTTCAAAAGTGTGTAAACAGTACATCAAAATTAGTTGATTTTAGTACTTTCAGGCTTTTAAATCTGAGATCAAACTGGCAAAAGTAGAGGCTGGAGTCTTTTGTGCAAAAGTTAGCAAGCAACACAGTGGCAGGTGTAACTCGCTGCCCAGGTGTTTCCTTTTGAATCAGTTCTTCACAGCAGGTGAGAGCAGTGGGCGTCCAGCCTTCATTTCATTATTTCACATCTTTTCATCTTGCATCAGTTGGAGCCAGAAGGCTGCACGAAGACCAAAGAGCTGAACACGACAGAAAAACAACTTATCTGTAAGAAGAGGAAACAAAAAGTAAAGGATTGACATCAAGCTCAGAAAACAGAAAAGAAACTAGTGATGGACTTCAAAATAAACTGTATCCTCCAAGCTTTGAAGAATAACCACAAAACAACGTGTGACAGTGACGTGGAGATTTTATAATGAAAAGGTTTGTGTTGTGCACCCAAAATTGGCCTTGAAGCAAAGTTATGAGACAGATGAGAGCATAAATGCAACCTTTGCCAAAGTCAGGGAAAGCCAACAGTGTGAAGAAAACCACAAAGTGCCCTTGACTCAAATCATTCCCGCTCCTCAGAGAAGCACACAGCAGCAAAAACCGTCATCCTCGACAGACTCGGATAATTCATTCTCACTGACAGAGGAACAGATGACAGCAGGGGGGAGCAGCAGGTGTTGTTTAGAAGTGTAAAGATTATTTTGGCAGGACCTTCATCCTGCAACAAGACAGTGACACCCACCCCCCAGCCACACCGAGGTGCAACCAAAGCTTTTATCAGCCTCAGTCTTAAATAAAGTGTCCACTTCAGGCTCCAGATTTAAACCCTACTGAACATTTTCTCTGCAGCGAAGGAGAGAGAAGGTAAACATCACTGGAAGGTGTTCTAAAAAACAAAAAACCTACAAAAAACTTTTCCTTCTTTTGACATAAATCTGTTCACTTGCACATGTGGAAAAGCTGACTTTGACCACAAACTGGCAACAAAACATAAGATTCAACTGTCCCGAGACGGTGAAATAATTTGTAGATGTACATTTAGGTAATTTAGGTAAACGCTTTTGATTTTGGAATATTAAAGTAAAAATAATGAGAAATGTAATTTTACTTTGAATTCATATTTTAGGTTCATATTTCATGGTTAAATTAACCGTTTAGTTTCCATTTACTGCAGCTCTAATTCTCACTATGACTACAAAAAAAGCACTGAGTTGCTGCCGTGTGATTGGCTGATTAGATATTTGCATTAAGGAGCAGATAAGGAGGTGTACAGTGTATTTCTGCTCCTGTTCACAGACTAGATGAAGCCTGGTGTGTTAAAATCATTGTTGTTTTTTTCCTAATAACCTTTTTAGTGTGTGGAGTTTTTCCCTTTACCTGATGATGGACAGCCTGTTTTTTAACCACACATACTGACACTGGCAGCTCGTTACCTGCAGTATGACCCATAATTAAAAGAGAATTTTATTTGTTTTTTTACTGTGTGAATTTTCTGGCGTTTAACGGTTCATCTAGCAGAGGCCACAGAAGCAGAGACTGTTGTGGAGAGACTGCACCCATGAAGAAATATGAAGACATAAAATGACTACTGAGCAGAACTGTGTCCAGCATTGTTATTTTATGCATTGCTAATACTAGGAACAAAAACTTAAACCCTGATCTCTGATACATGAGACCTCTGTAAAGGAAATTGCTGATAAATCTGAAACTGCACAAAAATAGCTGGATTTGGCCAAAATGATAAAAATTTAAATTGATGTTTCTTTTGTTTTTAAATTGCCAAATTGTTCAATAAACACTCCAGATTTAACCATTAAATGATTACTGTTTGTAATCATTTAATGGTTCAGTCTTGACAGGGTTAATGCTTTTAACATTTTTGTGTACACGCCATCAGTGAGGTCTTTGTCAGTATGGTGGCTGTAAAACTAACAATGATTTAAACCTCTGGCTCAGAATTCATTAACAATTTCAGCTCTGTTTTTATGTCCTATTATTTACAACAAATAACATTAAAAGTCAAAATTTCCTCACCGATTAAATTTGTATTTTTTTTTCAAAGTCACCCAGTGGGCCGTGCTGAACCCTTTGGTGGGCCTGTCATGGTCCCTGGGCCATATGTTTGACAACCCTGGAATAAGGAACAAGACCAAAACATTTTTTTTTTGTTTTCTTTATTCCACTCAGAAAAAAAAACAAAAAATAAAAAAACAAAACAAAATAACATCATCCATCACTCCAATATTTATTAACTGTGTTAATTTTTTCATATGTGATTCATCTGAAGATTTCACTTTAATTTACTTAAAACTTTAACTTTAACTAATGCTTAACTAAAGTAGCAGGTTTACTTCACAAGTCTGGCTCATCACAAATTGTTTTTCCATTTCAATTCAACAGATTTCATTATTTTTCATACACACTCAAAATATTTCAGTTACATCTTAAGGCATAAATCAATTTTTTAAAATCACAAACATATCAAATTTATATGAAATAGCTGGGAACTGTAGCTTAGAGTGAATAGTGAAATCGCATGGGACTAGTTTCAGCTGCGGATTAATACACATTTGGCGCTGCTGCTACTGCCTGAACATGTCGCTCCGATATTAGAGCTCTGTGGCACAAAGAAAAAGAAATGTACAGCAAAAACCTTTTCAAGATCAAGCGGTTGCTACTGAGGATTAAACAAGCCACACGTGGCAAATGGAGATGCTTTTTGCAGCGGAGTAAATTTACAGTAATCACACATTTTATAGGCTTTTATACAATCCCTTTGCTTTTATTTCAGCGACTAGCAATGTTATTGAATTTGACAGTACTTAAAAGATCCTCGGTCAATAAATAAACACAGAAACAGGACCAGGAGTGGTTTAAAGTGGCAGACACTGGACTGTTTTAACAATATACAGTACACAAAATGAGATTTTAAAAAAATTAATATCTAAAATACATTAGTAATAGTATTTTTATCATGTAACATGCGTATTTTTGCAATGGTTTGTTACTGAGGCCGGTATGTGGTGCAGAAAGCCAGACAAACACTGTAAATCTTTAAAAACAAATAAAAAAAACCCCACACAGTACAATATTGAAACATAAATTACACAAAACCTGAAGTGTGTATTCAGGGTAAATTCATGCTTGCAGGTTAATTGGAAGCGGTTCCGTGTTAGAAATGTGTAAGACCTGAATTTCTTTTCTCCACAAAATGACAAACGTGAAACTGTCCTCAGACTAAAACATCGATCTGCAGGCCTGCAGATGTTTAAACTTCCACGGCAACAAAAATTCAAGACTGTGGCAGATAACAATGGCAGCTGAAGGTGTTACAGGGAAACCGTAATTGCACACTCATGCACAGGTTAGTCTGCTTTTTAATTTATTTCTTTTGCGGGATCGCTTTTTAGTGAAATAAAGAGTGAACATGTAAAGAAATGTGCGCAAATAAGCTTATCATTTAGGAGCTTATTTTGTCATTAATAAGAGCTAAATCAAAATCACAGCTGACAATAAGTGATCGTCATCTGAAGCTGGTTGTTTATTTGCGCACTTAAAATCTATTTTAATTGTTACGTAAATTTAGGTACGTTTATTTCATATCATATCATCATTTAGTACTAACACGAGTATTCTCTTCTCCAGCCAGTTAGCATCATCTGCCTGTTATGTTTGGACAAAATAGTGACAAGTTTTAAGTGTAACAGTAACAGCAGCTGGTCAGTTTAATATGTGCTATATTTTTGCCATTTCTTTCTCATAAATTTGTTTGTTTTTGGTTACATAATTACCTGTTATTTTTCATAAACATTTTTACAGCAAATTTGCTATTTTTTCCTCACAAACTTGTCCAGTTTTTCTCATGGATTTCTTTCTTAAAACTCTTTAAAAAAATGTTTTTTATTGACAAATTTATTTCTGAGAAATTAGCCATTTTTTTCCTTATAACTTTTTAATGCAAACTTGCCTGTTTTTTCTCACCACTTTACAAGGTTTTTTCCTAATAAATTTCCTATTTTCTTCTAAAATTACCATTGACCACACCTTTTTTGTTGAACCTACTAAGTTTTGTTTCAAATTTATTTGATTTTTCTTTGTTTTGTTTTTTTTTGTTTTGTCCATTTGGTGTTGAATAAAAGTGAACTGTGCAACATAACTGCAGAAACCTCGACGGCTAAAAGCCAAAACTGAGCTGCCAAATACAGTTCCTGCAGTTCCATAAATGGCCACACGAGGCAGCATCATAAATGGAGACTGTCAGCATAAACTTCCGTGTAAAATGCCCCAAAATACAACAAACTAACTACAAAAAGAAATGTTCCATAGCTCGTGCATCCCTTGTTAACAATTGTACGTGGAGTGTGTTTTTATAGTTACAGTTATAATAATAATCAAATAAAAGCAGCTTCTCCCCGTAGCTCACCCCTCTCTCTCTTCCTTTTTCTGACTGAAATGACTTCACTTTAAATTTAAGGTGCAGAGGCTACTGGGAAACTCCCATTTTCAAAGTAAAGTACCTTTATGCAAAATGCTTCTTCTCCCTTTACTGACTTTACTACCCTGCGAACACCTGGGGGGTCAGCGGCGGCGGCAGGTTGTCGTTGTCTATGTTGTTGGCATCAATGGCAGAAACTGTGCAGGTCAGCGGATATTTTTCCAGGATGTCGTTCACCTCCCGCTGGACGCTCTCGGTCCAGGAGAGCAGATCAGCCTGGAGGCTCTGAGCGGCCTCCATCACCTTCTCCTGCCGGCTGCTGATGGTTGACAGCTGCTCCAGATTGTGGTTGAGCTGTGCCAGGACAGGGTTGGTGGCAGCCACGCCAGCTCCTGGACCGGTGTGGGGCCACTCGCCCTCTGCGCTGCTGCATCTTGGCGAAGCTTGGCCCGACATGTAACGCTCAAACTCCTCCGGGGAAAGATTGAGAGACTGAGCGTCCAACTTCTCGATAAAGGCAGCTGCACAGCACTAAAAAATAAAAATGAATTAATTAATTTAAAAAAAAAAGAAAACCAACTGAAATCATGGATGATTTTCTGATAGCACATCAAACTGAGTCACAGAGAGCCAGATGGCCTTATGTTACAAGGGTTATTCCAACATTTTGGGAAACAGAGTGCCATGACGTGACAATTATGCTTCTCTAAAGATTCACATAAACGTCTCTGCAGGCCTCATTTAAAGCCTGTTAGGATGCAGGTATAAACACACGTGAAAATTAAGCCAACTCGGAAATATACTCACCGGCTACTCGTTAATGCAAATATCTAATCGGCCAATCACATGGTATCAACTCAGTGCATTTAGGCATGTAGTCGACCTGCCAAGCATCATAATAAGGACAAAACATGCCATAAGAGAAACTGAACGTGGCATGGTCGTTTGCCCGAATATTTCAGTAACAGATTATCTGCTGGGATTTTCCCACACAGCCAAAGAAAGCGGTCAGTTCTCTGGGAGAAAATGAGGAAGCCAGAGGTCAGAGGAGAATGACCAAACTCCTTTGAGCTGTTAGGAAGGAAACAATAACATAAATAACTACTCATTACAACCAGGATGTGCAGAAGAGCATCTATAAATTTACAGCACATCACACCTTGAAGCAGATGGGCTACTGCAGCAGAAGACCACACCGGGTGTCGCTCCTATCAGCTAAGAATAGAAAACTGAGGCTACAATTCACACAGGATCGGCAAAATTGGACAACAGAAGATTGGAAAAATGTTGCCTGGTCTGATGAGTCTCGGTTTTTGCTGTAACACTTGGATTGTTCCTACTATGCCGTGAAGATGCAAGAATGGGATCCTAGCAAAGTATAACTAATAAAGTGGCCTTCGAGTGTGTATCTTGTTCTGCTTAGCTTAGTGAGGAAGAGCTTGTGTGGCTCTGTCTGAAGGCCATGCGATTGCACCTATCAGTGCCTCTAAAACTGGCAGATAAGAAATAACCTTATATAATGCTTGTTTCTTTAAAAGAAAAAAAAGCAGACAGAGACGTTTAAGCCCTCCAAATCTGAAAACTGTATTTGTCTATGACATAACACTCATCGGCAAATACTTCATACACCCACATATATTTGGATATTATTCATTAAGGGGCTTAATTACATTTGGACAAACTGTGCCGTCAGTAAAGGGAACTAAGTGCACGAATAGCTCAGCAAAGACAATAAAGAGGCGCTCCACATTCCCAGCATTTAAGGCACATCTTGAACAGTGGTCTTATGTTATGTAAATTAGCAGGTTTGCTAGGTTTGGTGTATTGATGTTTGTTAACATGTGTTGGCTGCTAAATAACCACTGAAATCTTTACTCTGATTTTACAATTATAACACAAAACTTATTTCACTTTTCATTATCTGGATTCATCAGAAGAAAGAAAAACAGACCAGGTTGGTGAAGTAGTATCCATCCTCTCCGGTCATCAGCCTGCTGGGGTTGCAGAATCGGGTGATGTACTGGATGTTGGACTGAAGTCGTGGAGGATTAGCCTTCAACACGATGTAAATGAGCGCGGGGAGAAAGTCGTCGGCGGACGCCGGCTCGTTCTTGGTGATCCTAATAGCGCTGAAGATGTGTTTACTGCAGCGTGTGATGCAGGCCAGTTTGTCCCGAGGAACCCTCTTCGAATCCATCTCAATGATATCTGGAACAGACCAAGATTTGCTAATGAAGGCTGAAACAAAGAGCTAATCAGGTTATACGTTTATTAAGTAAAACTTATTTGTTCTGCTCTGGAGGTAAAATATATATAAGGATGATTTACAAATGACTTATTTCCATCCTGGCACTTAAAGAACATTATATATTCACAGCAGAGCGTCTGTCTTCACCATCTGCAGCACCAGACGTCGCACGGCGCTGCCAGATCAAATCCATTAGCAAGTTAAGCTCATTTCTACACATGAAGGATGGATGGAGCGACTGTTTGAAAGCCATACAGCTCAGTTTTAAAGACTACAAAGACAAGAAAAACCTCTTCAAAGGCAGACAAACGGCTGCTTATTTCTCAAAGGGGAACATAGAACAAAGAGCAGATATACACTCTTTTTCCACAATATTAAGAACGCCTGCCTGAAACAGCCTATGTCCCCTCTGGGCTACAAAAACCATCAGGAGGTGTCCTGTGGCTCATATCCGTTGGGATAGGACCCTGTAGATAGGCAGTGGCTGATAGGCTTAACTTAACTGTGTCAAACTGTCTCTGTTCTTTGGATTATTGAACTTTAGTAAATGATTAAACTTCAGATAAAAACTCACTAGGTTTACAGGAACAGCCAATCAATTGCAATGCACACAGCATTATTGCCTCAGGCCCAAGATGGAAAGGTTGCCAGCGTCATTAAAGGGGGCAAGTTTCACTGACCCCATCGCCCTTCTAGGTGTGTGTGGATGCTACTGAGCAGGACAAAATGTTGTTTATTTGGAGTTCAAACAACAGAAATGGTTAAAATGTTCAATAAACTACATTTTCTGACATAATTTTGTAATATAATGTATACTTTATTTATCCCTGTATAGAAATTACTCTCTGCATTTAACCCATTCACTCTAGTGAAGCAGTGGGCAGCCAATCCAGCACCGAGGGAGCAGTGTGTAGGGACGGTACCTTGCTCAGGGGTACCTCAGGATAGCCATTTAGTGGATTTTAACCCCCGACCTTCAAACCACTCTACCTACTCAGCTATCCCTGCCCCTAATTTTGATAAATATTTGCAGACATTGATATAAAGATGTGCACAGTCAGGATTTCTCAGTCTGCACCTTTTCCCATGCTGCATCACCGACAATTTTAATAAAAGACTCATAAATGGAGTAAATGAGTCAAACTAAATTTAAGTGAGTCTAAGCAGTGAAGGTGAACCCTCATGGACTGCTGGCACATCTGTGTGTGAAGTTATAGCGATGTTACAAAAAAGGCATAATTCACAAAGGTCAAAGCCATGTTTTGTAGGTGGCTGTAAATATGGTTTTTAATGCTGTTAACTTTTAAGATTTTAACATGGGAGCCTATGAGGACAAAGTCACTTTTGGAGCCAGCCTCAAGTGGCCATCAGAAGAACTGCAGTTTTTAGTTTTGGGTTCTAATTCACATTTTCAATCACTTTCAGTAGCGGGGTTTCAGACCGCCAAGGCCTTTGCCTTTGACTGCAACGGATCCCTACAGGAGAGATGGCCCATATTCAGGTGGATTTATACATTTTGCTTCTGGAGATGGATGGATTGCAATTCTGGGAGCTTGGAAGCTCTTCATTGTGTTTCTTGAGCTGTTCCTCAGTATTTTTCTGCAGAATGGCGGGGTATACTATCTTTCTGGGGTAGGCCACTGTCTTTAAAGGGTTGGGAGTCATTTCTAGGTTTCCAACAACATGTACCAGGTGGGTGACAGATGCCCACGTGAATTCCAGCACCCAGTGACTCTGTCTGTGGTTTGTAATCCTTTTCTGTACAATTTTACTGGGATTTTTAACTCCCCAAAACTGTTTTAATGTGGACACATTGTGTGTGGCAGAAACAAGCGAGGACAGCAGTGATCATCATGAGCAATCATTTATCTGATGGGGTAAAACATTCACTCTTTTTTAACTCAGATTTTGGTCTCTGTGAAGTTCACGACAAAACTGCAAAACGACAGCACCGCTAGGATCAAGCGCAATCAAACAGCGCGTCTGAGCGCTTGCTGACCTGTTATCGCTTTCACCACATTCTCAGAGACTTCCGGGATTTCTTCATCCATGGACACACAGAGCATCTGGATGGTCACCCAGTGCAAAGCCCTGCAACACAGAGAATCAGAATCAGAGAAAAAAAAAGACACACAAGATTGTGTTCATTCACATAAGCCTGACACCCTTATTTTTTGTATTTTTGTGTGTCTGCATATGATGCAACCATACACATTTGTTACAGTCACTTCGCTCCAGGGTGACAAACACATCAGACACGTGCAGCCAGCAGCTGCCACTGTGCTTCCAAATGTAAGAAAAACACAGCTAAAAATGGCTATTGTGTAATCAACTGCACAGACTCAGAAAGCATTCAGACTGAAGTTTTCACAGGCGGATGAAGATTAAAGGCGAGCGCTGTGCACTGAGGCTTTCTATTCACCAGGCACACACACAGCTTACACATAAAAACCCCATGTTTGCACAAAATCTAATGCCAAAGCCAGGAAAATCCACAAAAATGACAATATGACATAAAATATTATATTCTAAAAACATCAGGCTGTGCTGAGTTGTTCAGTCCAGGAAGAACCACCTTATTCTGTTCTGTGTGGCCAAGTCCTTCCTCTCGTCATCAGTGGTTTCTGGACAGAAAACGCTCTTGTACAGACGAGTCATGATGTACTTTTCCACTTGGTCCATCACCTGCTCCACAGACTCAGAGGAGCCTGGTGAACAAAGGCACATTAGAGCATATAAAATACTGCTTGTGCTGCCATCTAGTGGCTTCCCAGACTGTTTGCGTTGAGAACGTCTTAATGATTGTTGTAAATACTTGAAGTAAAGTTGCAACTTCTGCAATCCTACCTTTAAAGTGAGTCATCAGGCGGTCGGCCAAATTCTGGTAGAAATCTTGAACGCACTCTGACAGCTCATCGGCACCCAGGTCCTGTTGACAAAAGACATTAGAAGGTTATTCGCGTGGAAAGTCATGGAAACATTCAAAAGTAAACGACTGGTGTCATTAAGTCACTGAGCGTCAGAGTACGTCGCACCTTCTTGCTTGACATGTTCACGAGGAAGGCTCGGCACTGCTTGTGGATCTCCCGGCCGGGCTTCTGGAGGTTTTTCAGGAAGTCCACAAAGTCTTTGGACACTTGGTCCGTATCGAAGCTTGCGTGGCGGCTGATGGACGGACTGGTTTTACCTTCTTGGGTTTCTAGTTAGGAAAAAAAAAATCACGTTTAAAATAAAAAATAATAATTCTCCCCCCAATAGGTGTATATGTGTAGGTACTTCAGATAAACATGTATTATTTACTCTCATCATAGGACACATAACTCCCTACACAGCTGTCACGCCACTAAATAATTGCAAGAATTACCTCTTCAGAGCAAAATTTTTAAATTTCACAGCAAAACACCAAAAAATGTTTTTGTCATTTGTCCCAAGTTATTATAAATGCTGTGCAACATCAAGTGTGGATGAAGGAGTGCCC